GGGGGATGAGTTGAGCAGTTTGATGACCATACACAGGAATAAGCTCCCGTGCAGCTCAGTGAAACACTTGGTGTGAGTGGCATGAGTCTTTAGTTGAAGACACATTTTTTATGTAAATATTCAGCACAATTCCAAGCATCGACTAATTGTGACACACAGTTCATCTTTCCCTTATAGCCTGTCAGTGTCCTACTCTACACAAAGAGAACTTCCTCACAGTCTGCTATAAAGACTTGATATCATGCTGTCAGTTGCAGCAGAAGAAGAGAAGCTCCCATCAGATCACCTTCAATACCAACCATGTCCTCTGTAGCTCTGCTGCTGCTGCTGCTGCTGGATCCTGTGAGTCTCACTGAGGCAGAGACACTGACAGTATGATCACAGCCAGAGGACACCAGAGGAGGAGCCCTCAGACCACTAATGACTTCAGCACCAGTTCACTGTTACAGAGAGAAACAGACATATTTAGCAATGAAAAGGTAAAAGGAACATAAAATGTTTTGTGTACATTATAATAATATTAAATATACAGTGGAGGCATTTTCCAAAACAAATCTTCTCTGTCTGGCTGTCATTACTACTAATTAACAATAATATAATTTTTCTTGTGTAATAATCTTCTCCATTGTAATATGAATATCACTTTGTGGTAGGCCTGGGCGAAAAATCGATTGAATGAATTAATTCGAATTTTTTGTTGCGGGCGATTTAAAAAATAAGTAAATCGAGTTTTTGTGTAATAGCACATTTTTGGCTCCCCGGGGTTTCCGTAGTGTTCGTTTCCCATAGCGACAACATCATACACTAAACAGCAACAGCAAGCGACAAAATGGCTACCGGTGAGAGCGGGAAGTTTGTTCCCAAGAAAGGAATAAAGTCATCTGTTGTTTGGAACTGGTATGGGTTTGCTGCGACAGATGTGGAACAACAGACACCACGCTGCAACATTTGCCTAAAGCCTATCGCAGTGAAAGGCAGCAGCACCACAAACCTATTCCAACACCTGAAACAGAGACATCCAGCCGAATATGAAAAATGCCAGTCTCTCCGCGATGAACAAAGCCGCACTGACCAACAAACCTTATTGCTTTCCTTAAGTAGGGGGGAAATCGGAAAAATCGTAAATTGAATTAAAAAAAAAAATCAGAGATTTTATTTTTAGGCCATATCGCCCAGCCCTACTTTGTGGACCTGCAGTCAGATCAAGATGGGTAAAAAGAAAACATAATGTCACATTTTTTTGCAAAGTCAAGATTTTGTCTCATAATAGTTGGTGAGTATGTTTAATATTGTTGTTTGTTGGAGGATCACTTGAGAAAACACAAAATTCCACTTTTGAGGGAAATTCATATTAAGCAAGGTTTAAATTTAGAGTTAATGCAAAACCTAGCTGTTTTCCACCTTCACTAATGTGACTGCAGGGAGGATGGAAAAGTTGTAATTTTCACTGAAGCTTTTGTTTTACATAATATGACAAAGTTTATGTGTCTGACTGGGAAATGTCTTGTAACATAATGAAAAGTTTTCTTATTTTTATTCTTGCTGGGGTATTCACTGATATATTTATGTTGTTGGTGTATCCGTCTGTTTTTAACCCACTGTCTCTCTCAGAGCCCTGCACTCCTCCTTTCCTAACAGATTTTAGTCTTTTTGTGTCAACACTGTATCTCCAAAATCTCCGACTGATGTCCTGAAAATGATTTTACTTATGAACACTTTGTGAGAAAGTCTTCACATTCTTCACATGTTGTCGACTGTGCATAATAAACAACTTAAAAATGTGTTTATCAGTGTATTGTACAAATAAATACTGAAACATGAAACTCTTGTAGGAACCAGTCATACAGTAAACATTGATTCTGCAATTTCACCAAATAGTAACTGAGATCCAAGTCAAATTCAGTTCCTCCCTGTGAGGAGGAGTCAGTGCAAAACTCAGATGTCTTCCACTTTGCACACACCTTGCACTCAATAAAAATAAACATATCAAACATTAAAATGTTAGGTATCATGAACACATCTCTCTATTGTTAATACAAACTCCCATGATGTCTCTACCTTCTCACTGCTAATCCAAAATCCATGGTTATGTAAGAAAACATCTGGACAATATGGTCTAAAGTGTATCTTTTTTATTTAGCAAACTGTAGAATCCAAAATGGCACTGCATTGACCAAGTGCATTGCAAGTGCCACAATCAGGACTATAAGAAGTTAACATCTTCTCCACAAAACAGCATAATTTCAACATTTCTGCAATTACTTTTCTTACACTACTTTTGTAGTTTACAATTTTGGTTTTATGTTTTAAGGACAACAGTAGTTTCAGTTTTTCTCTATAGACATTTAGCAGGATTTTCTGGATGAACTCAAAATTATAAATCAAACCTTTTGAGTACTCAGGCTGGAGGACATACAGCCATACAAATGCAGTACTACATCAGGCTAACAATCAGTCTAGTGAAAGACAAGCTGATCCTGGAGGAATACCTTGATTTCACAGAGATGGAATGGCACCATCTTTACCGTCAGCAGTGACTTGCGCTGTGGTAGGACCTTGGTCTGCACCATCCTGGTAAATACGCCCATAAATGTACAAATACAACTTTGATTAAATCACTCACACACACACACACACACACACACACACACACACACACACACACACACACACACACACACACACCTCAGTACCAGAAATGGCTATATTATTTAGTGTTACCAAAAAGTGTAAATAACTAAACATCAGAGCCATTTCAGCATACATGTTTTTAAGTTAGGTGGGAGCCAATTAGAGCACCCAGAGGAAACAAACATGAAGATGGGAAGAACATCTGCAAACTCCTCATAGAAGACCAGAGGTAGTTGACCAGGACCATCACAATTCAATTTAGATGACACTACAGTATCACTCAATCATGAGTGAATTCCATGACTAATCTACATGAGAAGTCCGTCTGATGTAACATTGTTTACTCTGATTTGGTTCTTAGACACAGAGTGTGTTGCTAGAGATTGACAAGCAGGCTCTGCATGCACAGCGAACCACTAATCAAAATATTGTTCTTGATCAGTTTATCAAACAACCAAAGCAGGCAGCGTTGAAATGTTGGTTTTGATAAATATTTCATTAAATGCTTAACCTACTATTGCTTGACCATGTTAAGTGTACATCAGCCCACCTTGCAGGTGTAGAACTGCTCTGTGTCGTCTCCTTGCAGCAGAGCTGGTAGACATCTGAGACATACAGTCTGCTCAACATTGATGTCTTGCGTTTGCTGTAGTGAAACATAAGAAAAAAGGCTAAAATACCAACAATATATATTTACACTTTGCTGCAGACTGTGCTCATTGTTTTTCTCTAAATACTAGGGATGTCCCAAATATACTGTATACTTTTGTCCGAGCAAGAGTTCTTTGCAAATGCAAGTCCAATCCAATACGTTTTTATTCAAATTTTAAATAAATATATACCTGGCACACTGATATAATGCAGCTTTAACCTAATACATTCAACAGACTTTATTTTACACAAGCATCTATACATCCCAAAACTGAAGATCCGTTCAGTAATTTAAGATATGAATGAATATTTATCATGAAAAAATGTGACTCTTGACTTTGAAATCAAGAAATATCAATCTGCTGAAGCTACTAGTTGAGTGTTCGGTATCCTGCTCTCAACAGGTCTGTTGTCAGTTAGTTACTATCCATGTTTTGTCAACACCAAGTGTCAGTCACTTGCACCAGTGTGTCGAAATAATTTTTCACATTCACACAATCTTAATTTTCACTCGCATTTACAAGCAAAATTGTTGCACTGTAGGCTGTTATAAAGTGGAGTAGCACTGTAACGCTAGCAGGCTGAGGTGGATAAAAACTAACATGAGTACAGTAAGCAAAGATCAGATTTTTTGGGTTATTTCTGTCTATTCTCATTCAAATCTGCTCGAATGTGCCCCAGTACTGATCCTCAGGATCTGCTCAGGACATAAAATTTACCTGAGAATGCTTTTACAGTGGAGAAGAGATCTTCTGGGCACCAGTCCAATTCTCCTGGCATCTCTCTGGCCACAACTAGCAAAAACACATTATGAAAAGTATAACAATTAACAATAAAATCAACCAAATTACATAGCTCTAAATATGTGCACTTTAAGTTACCTGATGTTACTGGAAAGGAGCTGGCCATCTTTTCTGAAAATGCAGCACAGAATGTTACTAATGTGCATTTTGAACCTCATCAGTTTCTGAGTGGAAACTCTACATAAGATCAGCCTTTATTTGTCTCACAGGTGTCTCACATACAGTCGTTGCAAGAGAGAAAACAATTCCCCACTCATCCTACCTTACCTATGAAATGAAGTTAAAAACACTCTCAAACACTCACTGGAAACAAATCTAAAATTTCAGATAAATAAATCATACCTGACATCAACAAGAGAGAAGTTTGGAAAGAATGATGAAGTCAGTCTCTATCAGTCTCTCCTTCTCCTGCTGCTGCTGCTGGTAGACAGGAGCTGGTTCAGCCAGCAGCTGAGTTCATACAGTATGTGTAATATTTTAATGTACGGGGTAAACTAAGCTAAACAGTTACTTAAGACAGAAATCCTTAACTTCAGCTTGTTTGTAACAATTAGCTATTAGCTGAATCAGCGCTGTGCTTGTGTAAAACCACAACACAGCTGTGGTGGATGAGAAACTGAGCAGATTAAAATATCGGGCTCTAAATGTTTATGCTAAACAGGTGTATTGATAAATGTTTTAATAACCTTCCAAACTGTCGCGATTTTCTGTTTGTGTTGCTTTCTCTGTGCTGAAGTTATTTTAATAAACTTGATGGTTTTATCCAGTTTGTTATTAAATGTTTGACAAACTTTATTGTGTGTCTCTTCAAGCAAAGCCTATAGTTTTTCATTATATTCCACTCAAATCTGATGTTCATTAATAAATTTTTCTCATAGATAGTGTGTTACCCATGAATGATAACATTAACTTGGATTTTGTGTTTTCTCTTTTCTTTATTCCACTTGTGCAGAACTCACAATGTACACATAAGTGTGTGCGTGCGGTCAAACTGTAAATACAAATAATTCACCTTTAGTTTCCAGTCATGTATCATTTTCCCAAATAAGTTTTCTACAACATAACATCAGCTTAGATGATAAACATTATAAATCAAAGATATTCCGTACAAAGCAAATATCACACGTGGTAGACTATGTAGGCATTAAATATTATCACATGTGTGTAATAAAACTATCAATACAGATTTCTAAACAGTCGCTGTATTACAAACACCTATTAAACCTTGTAAATGCTACACATATTGCATATATGTTTAAATAAGCAATTTAAACCAAATGTCAATCCAAACTAACAAACTAATAGCATTAGGCGTTTAGGCGCTAATCGCGAATGGCGATCTACATAGTGCTTTTATCAATATACTTATAACAACAACATTTGACTTACCACGCTGGGAACATATAGTTCAGATTAAGTGTTTAGCTGTAATTGTTGTAGAACATAAGAAAGTCTGCAAATGAGCATCAACGTTGCTTTCTCGGTCAGTTCGGTTCGGTTCAGTTTTTTTTTTTTTTTTTTTTTTTACAGCGCCTCTTCTTCCGCGATCCCATGAGCCCACAGAATCAACGTCCTTAAAGGGGCAGCACCCTACATCCCGGTCCCAATGACCCAAACAGGTCATTCAAACAAAGTAAGGGTGATGTGACAATTAAACTAAATCAACTAAGAAGACTGGCTTCTAGGAGGCAGATCTTGTCTGCAGGACGGATGAAGACACCTGCCTGTGTCTTCACTTCCACAGTACGCACAAGTCCGTCTGCACCTGGATAGACTTGAGTAAGCAGACCTAGAGGCCAGTGATTGCGTGGTGTGTTCTCATGCAGAATAAGCACAAGATCTCCTACTTGAAGATTTTTCTTTGGTTGCAGCCATTTTTGGCGTTGTTGCAGTGCAGGCAAGTATTCCTTGAGCCATCTGCACCAGAAGACATCTGCCAGATATTGCACCTGGCGCCATCTGCGTCGGTAAAGGTCTTGTTTTACGAAGGCTCCCGGAGGTAGAGTAGGACCTGAACGAAGCAACAACAGATGATTTGGTGTGAGTGGTAGAGGATCTGACGGGTCGTCTGATAGTTTAGTGATTGGTCTACCATTGACAATAGACTCAACACAGCAAAACAGTGTTGCCAAACCTTCATCATCTGGTGCCTGCTGTGAGAGGACAGTGTTAAGAATGGAACGAACAGTGCGAATTTGCCTCTCCCAAACACCACCCATGTGGGAGGCGGCAGGTGGATTGAAGATCCACTTTACATTGTGCTGTAGAAGGTAATCTGAAATCCTTTGTTGATTCCACTCACTGATGGCTTTCCGCAACTCTCGTAATCCACCGACAAAATTAGTCCCGTTATCCGAACGTATTTCCATGGGTGGGCCTCTCCTGGAGATAAATCGCTGTAAGGCATTGATAAACGAGTCGGTATCGAGGGAGTGTGCAACTTCCAAGTGGATTGCTCTCGTAGTGAGACATGTAAACAAACATCCGTACCTCTTGAGCTCACTGCGTGCCTTCTTAACCAAGAATGGCCCGAAGTAGTCTGTGCCCACACGAGTGAATGGAGGCTCACCTGGAGTCACTCTAGAATCAGGTAAGTCCGCCATTTGCTGGGTTTGTGGCTTAGCTCTTAACTTGCGACACTGTAGACATGACTTGAGAGTTCGGTTAATGACGGTCCGTCCCTTTAGAATCCAGAAACGTTGACGAATTTCTGCAAGTACTCGCTCTGGACCTGCATGACCCAGGCGAAGATGGTAGTGACTGATAATCAGATGAGTGACATGATGATTGTTAGGTAGGATCACTTGATGTTTTGCCTCAAAGGGAATTGGGGCATTTGTTAGTCTGCCTCCCACACGAAGGAGTTGATCGTTTTCATCCTCAAAGGGTTTAAGCTTGAGAAGAGAACTGGGTTTTGCTTGAGAAGATCCGAAAGATGCAGTTTGTATGTAATTGAGAATGGCTGATTCTGCTTGTTGGAGCTCACTTACAGTAAGAGGGTCGGATAGATGCACACTTGTTTTCTTGCGTAACAAAGCCTTGACACGCAACAGGATAGAAGTAGCCCTTTTCAACCGATGCCAACTGGAGTATCGTTCCAGTAGTCTGTCCACTGCATTTTTCATCACTTGGTTTGGTTTTATGCTAGCTGCATAGACCTCTTTGGCTCTTTTAATTTCTGCTTCCTCTGACAAATCCTTTATGATAGGTTGAGCAGGCCAATGTTCCTCCTCCAGTTGAAGAAAGTGCGGACCAGATACCCATCGTTCACTTGACAAAATCTCTCCCATAGTCATTCCTCGAGAGACATCATCCGCAGGGTTAGAAGCAGAGTCAATGTGTCTCCACTGGCATGGTTCTGAACGCTCATGTATTTTTGAAATACGGTTGGCTACGAATGTCTGGAAACGACAATGTTTGTTGTTGATGTACTGAAGTACAATGGTACTATCTGTCCAAAAGAAAGTCTTTTCAATTGGAATCTCCAAGTGGCGCTTGATATGCTGATCCAGCTCCGTAGCAACTACAGCTGCAAGTAGCTCCAGACGCGGTATGCTAATTGGCTTGATTGGTGCAAGTCTGGCCTTTGACATCACCAGCCTGCAGGTGTCGCCAATCCTGATGTATGAAACAGCGCCGTAAGCCAGTTCCGAAGCATCGGAAAAGTGATGGAGCTGAGTCTCTAGCAAGCAACTAGCGGATGTTGGTCTAAGACATCTTGGAATTTTCAGCGCAGACAACAGAGGCAAGTCATTTAGCCATCTATGCCACTGTGCTGCTAAGTCTACCGGTACCTCCTCATCCCAGTCGACTTTCATGCGGCACAACTCTTGAAAGATTGCCTTTGCTTTGAGCACGAATGGACTTGCAAATCCTAAAGGATCATAGATGGAACTAGTAGCGCTCAATACTCCTCTCTTTGTTGCAGGTTTGTCCACTGCCTTGGCATCGAATGTGAAGCAATCTCTTTCAACATCCCAAAGGACACCCAGTGTTCGTTCAAATGGCAAATCCTCCTGGTCAAGGTTGACCTCATGTAATGACTTTGCCCAATCATCAGCTGGTATCGATTTCATCACTTCCTTAGAATTGCTTAACCATTTGGTTAATCTAAAGCCTCCACAGGTGAGTAGCTCACGGAGTTCGGAAGCAAGTTTAATGGCGACCTCCACCGTAGGTACTGACTTAAGACAGTCGTCGACGTAGAAATTTCCTTTCAATGTTTGCACGGTGTCATTAGAGAAACTTCCACGGTTGTCTTCAGCCACTCGTTGCAAGGCAAAATTGGCAGCACTAGGACTCCAGACACCTCCAAAAAGGTGGACCATCATACGGTAATGCTTAGGCGGTTTGTCCGGGTCGTTGTCCTCCCACCACAGGAAGCGAAGCACATCTCTTTCATCAGGTGGCACTCGGACTTGATAAAACATGCTCTCGATGTCCGCGTTCAGAGCAACGGGTTCTTGCCTAAACTTGAGAAGAACTCCTAGTAGCTTATTGGTAAGGTCTGGGCCTTGGAAAACATGATCATTCAACGAAGTACCTTGGTACCGTGCCGCACAATCGTAGACAATACGAACTTTCTCCGGTTTGCGTGGATGTAGCACCGGATGATGTGGCAGGTACCACACGCAACCATCGTCTCTTTTAACGTCAATGACCTCTTCTGCATATCCTTTCAGCAAACAGTCTCTGATACCTTCTGTATACCTTTGATGCAAAATCGGGTCCTTCTTTAACCTCTTTCCTAGAAGGTCTAATCGATGTTTGGCCATTCCGTAGTTATTGGGCAGTTGTGGTGGATGTTCTTTGAAAGGGATCGGTAGAGTATAATGACCATCCTCTTTGACTGCTTGCTTGTTCCATAGATCAACAACTTGCTCGTCGACTACTGACAGCGAGTCATTGTTCACGTGCACTGGATCATCCAGTTTCCAAAATCTTTCAACAGCTTGTTGTAGAGAGTGGTCAGCTTGAATGAAATTGGCCGAAACAGATGTTGAACCATCAGCTACTGGCCCATGGAGTGTCCACCCCAGGCCAGTTAGAATCGCATAGGGTTCGCCTGACTCACCGCAGCGTGTTTCACGGGGGGCGAGTATGTCTGGTTGGTCTAGACCTATCAGCAGGTGAACCTCATCAGCTAGATCAACGTCAGGTAAACTGATTTCATCAGCAATGTCCTTTAGGTGCGGCCACTGGGACACCTCAAGCTGTGTGACCAAGTTGTCTAGACTTATGTTCAGCTGATCCCGACAGAGCACTCCTTTCATCAGGTAAGAGTTTTTTTGTTGAGCATCTTCAACTCGTAGGTCCACCGCTAAGGTGGCTACGTTGAGATTTTTGGTCTCCATGGTGTTCAGTTTAATGTTCATTTTGCATGACTCCAGTTTAAGTGCGTGAACTAACTTCTTAGAAGCAAAGGTCCCATTAGAGCCACTGTCAAGCAAAGCAAAGACATTCATAGAGAATCTGTTGTGTCTGTCTGAAACCACTACGGGCAAGATGGGAAGTGCAATCTTCTTTCGACTGGCTTCAATGCACTTTCTAGTGGCATGTGCTTGAATGGCTTGAGGCGGGTCAGCAGTTGGCTCACCTCTAGTAGCTTGATTAGTAGATTGGGCGTTGTCGTCGTTGTTAGAAGCTACAATGGCGGAGTGCAGCCAACTGTTGTGTTTTTTCCCACATCCAGGCACCTTGCATACCCAAGTGCGAGTACAGACTGTGCTGCGATGACCTTTCATGAAACAGTTCAGACAGAGTTGCTTTTGTTGAACAAAGGCCAACCGCTCTTGAACAGACAGAGCTCTGAAGGCTTGACACTGGTTCAGAAAATGTCCGTCAGTGCACTTTGGACACTTAAATCTTGATGTTGGTTTTGGTGTGGATGAGGTGGTGCATTCATTAGTAACTGACACTGTTGCAAATGTCTGCTTTTTCTTATTGAAAGTTGACTTAGTACTTGGTTTAGAACTTGCTGGAGAATTTCGACTGGCAGAGCTAAGGAGATTCCCAAAAATAGGATCTGCCCTCTTTTCAGCTTCTGATTGAACAAGACTGACTATGTCATCTAACTTTGGCAAATGACCAGACTTGATGATCTCATAGTTTATTGTGAGCCACCTTTTCTTTATGTCTTCAGGTAGCTTTTCCACAATTTGTAGCAAAGTGCGTCCACCGTTTAGCTCTTCCTCACACTTCATTGCCTTTAAAGTGTCTCGGCAGCTGCACAGAATGTCCGCGAAGCTTTGCAACTGCTTGTTGTCTTTAATATCTTTGTGATTAAGCACCTTGTCAACCCATGCTTGTGATATTGCATATGGATTGCCAAAACGTCTCTTCAGAATAGCCATGGCTTCAGCATAGCCCAAGCTAGAGTTGGGGTTGTACAAGCAATGTGAGATAGCATCTCTAGCTTGACCGACAGTGTACTGATGCAGGCGAGTGAGTTTCTCTTGATCTGGCACTGTCTCTTTATCAATCACAGAGGAGAACAATCTCATGAACTGCCAGTACTTTAAAGGTTCTCCATCGAACTTGATGATGTCAACTGGTGGTAGATGCATGGAATCGATGTGTGACTGATATTGTTGCCTTGACAGGTCTAATAGTTGGCATAAAGAATTCTCATTCTCTGCTGAAAGTGAGGAACGAAAGTTGATGGATGCGTTACCTGAGACAGGAGTGGAAAAGTCTTTATTTATTGTTGTTAACTCAGCCTTTCGACGGTTTTCCTCCATCTCAGCATCTTTGAGTTTCAGTAAGCCTTTCAGACCATCCATTTCCAATACTGCATGTTGAAGTTGTAAGTTAAACTCTGCACGAAGGCGTTCTTCCTGTCGAGCAATAAGCATGGAAAACTCTTCCTTTTCTTTCTGTCTTAGATTTTGTAGCCCTTGAAGCTGGGTAGACAGCTGGTCTACTGAAGACATTGGAGATTTAACGGCTTCATCAAACTTTGACTCTTCCTCTTGGAAATGAAGTGCATCTGAAGATTCTATGTTTGGATCCTCCATTGATGGCTTAAAGTCGTCAAACCAGCTCAAGACTGTGTGCTGCAAGTCTTGAACATCACGCAGGACTGATGTTAAATAGCCCTTAGAAGCATCAACGTCATCATCGTCTTCTAATGATTTATGGTACATGTCATGAATCTCATTAAAACGCATAACCGCCTCATCCAAAGCAGGAAGTTTCATCTCCACTTCTTTGGGTTGGTTACAGTTCATAGAAGTTGTAATCTGTGTCATCAAGCGTGTCACTGCAGCCTTTGCACTTCCACGTTGACGCTTGAGACATCTTTGTTGTTGATCAGGAGTAACACTTGTTTCTGAATCTTGGTCCATGTTGTCATTAATCTTCTTAACTCCTCGTGTTTGACTTTAATGTTACCCATGAATGATAACATTAACTTGGATTTTGTGTTTTCTCTTTTCTTTATTCCACTTGTGCAGAACTCACAATGTACACATAAGTGTGTGCGTGCGGTCAAACTGTAAATACAAATAATTCACCTTTAGTTTCCAGTCATGTATCATTTTCCCAAATAAGTTTTCTACAACATAACATCAGCTTAGATGATAAACATTATAAATCAAAGATATTCCGTACAAAGCAAATATCACACGTGGTAGACTATGTAGGCATTAAATATTATCACATGTGTGTAATAAAACTATCAATACAGATTTCTAAACAGTCGCTGTATTACAAACACCTATTAAACCTTGTAAATGCTACACATATTGCATATATGTTTAAATAAGCAATTTAAACCAAATGTCAATCCAAACTAACAAACTAATAGCATTAGGCGTTTAGGCGCTAATCGCGAATGGCGATCTACATAGTGCTTTTATCAATATACTTATAACAACAACATTTGACTTACCACGCTGGGAACATATAGTTCAGATTAAGTGTTTAGCTGTAATTGTTGTAGAACATAAGAAAGTCTGCAAATGAGCATCAACGTTGCTTTCTCGGTCAGTTCGGTTCGGTTCAGTTTTTTTTTTTTTTTTTTTTTTTTTACAGCGCCTCTTCTTCCGCGATCCCATGAGCCCACAGAATCAACGTCCTTAAAGGGGCAGCACCCTACATAGTGGTTAGTAAATAATGATGCGTCTGCATCACTTTGTAGATACATTAATGTTTGTAAATTATGTGGGATAGTGAGTCATAGTATGAGAGTGACAAACAATGTTGCAGATTCTTTCACAAAATCACTAGAGGGCAGTCAGTGTCAAGTTTCTAAAAGGAGACACTCAGATCTGCTGTTCTCATTGATCTTAACGGACACTTGAACCCTGGACTGAACTAAAGTTTAACATGTACACTGGATACTGTGATAGTTGATACTTTTCTACCCTAAACAAAAGTCATGTGTTAACTTGATTCAGCACATTTTGAACTGAAAAGTATGGCAGCATATTTATTGTTGTATAAAAATTTTTTTATACAACAAACAACATCCCGACAACAATTAACCACATAGCATGATATCTGATTAAGACAGTTTTATTTCTGACTTAATCAGACACAGATAAATGTAAAATGTAGTTATAATCACAGAAAGTAACATATAAATGTGTAAACTACTTTAGGTTTTTCTAATATAAAAAAAATGTTTATTGCATTTAGTCACACAGGTTTCAGTTCCTGAGCAGCTGTTTTCCACCTGAAACGATGTCTTTGACATCTGCAAACGCTGAAATTATTCATCTTCGTCTTTTATGCAAACCTTCAAACCAGCAGCATCAGACTTAAGTTTTTATACCATCTACATGACCCGAGCTGCTGTCACTGTATTTGTATTTGCAACAATATTATTTTAATGAATATGTTTTCCATTATCCATGATTCATGTTAATATTTCCATTAAGAATAGTTATAATGAAATAATGTACAATGAAATTAAAACATCATATGTAAAGCAGAGGTGATTTCCAGGCATGTTTTCACTCTGCAGATATAATAACAGTCAACAGACTCTTCTATTGGCTCCAGTTAGACCAACATTGATGCTTCATGTGTTTGATTCTATGCAAACTCAGTGACCTTCCTTGTTACTCAGCTATAAAAACTTCCCATCAGGCTGTCAGTGGAGTTCACAGCACGTCACTTTCAACATAAACCATGTTTTCTGTAGCTCTGCTGCTGCTGTTGGCAGCTGGATGTGAGTCTCTCTGGATTTGTCAAAGTCAGCAGTTCTTCTTTTCTTATTAGTGGACCAAATCCATGACAACCCAGAGTTGAGACCAGGAGGCAGAGTCGCAGTTTAACACACTTCTCTGCCTTTCTTTTTCAGCAGTTACCCACCCAAAACCCTACGCAGAGTCGCAGTCTAACACACTTCTCTGCTCCTCCATTTCAGGAGTTACTTAGTGAAAATCCTATAGTGACGGTGTCTGCCCCCCGACCATCGAAATTATTTAAAAAGGTAAACAGAAGAGGAGCTGTGCATAAAAACCTTATAAAAATTAAAACCACAAGAGCAATAGTGCAAACGAATAGGAGAGTTAAATGTGGACTCTTAAACATCAGATCTCTCTCTTCTAAAGGTGTACTAGTAAATGAACTAATATCAGATTATGATATTGATTTATTTGGTCTTACTGAAACCTGGCTGGGTGATGGAGAATATGTTAGCCTAAATGAATCCACCCCTCCCAGTCATATTAATACTCACATTCCTCGAGGCACAGGCAGAGGAGGTGGAGTTGCAGCTATCTTCGACTCTAGCCTATTAATCAGCTCTAAACCTAAACTAAACTATAACTCATTTGAAAGTCTTGTTCTTAGTCTTTCGCACCCAAGTTGGAAATCACTGCAACCAATTCTTTTTGTTATAGTGTACCGAACACCTGGCCCGTATTCTGAATTCTTATCTGAATTTGCAGAGTTTTTGTCAACTTTAGTCCTTAAAACGGACAAAGTTATTATTGTAGGGGATTTTAATATTCATGTAGATGTTGAGAATGACAGCTTCAGTACTGCGTTTATCTCTTTGTTAGATTCCATTGGCTTCTCTCAGAGTGTTCATGAACCGACTCACTGTTTTAACCACACCCTCGACCTTGTTTTGGTGTATGGTATTGAAATTGAACATTTAGTGGTGTTCCCACAGAATCCCTCTTTATCCGACCACTGTTTGATAACTTTTGAGTTTGTATTGCTGAACTACACGCCATTGGGCAAAAATTTCTATACAAGATGTCTGTCTGATAGTGCTATAGCTAAATTTAAGGATGCGATTCCATCAGCTCTAAATACATTATCTAGTCACAAAGTAACGGAGGACTCCTATGCTAATTTCAGTCCCTCCCAAATCGATCATCTTGTTGATAGTGCTGCAGGCTCGCTGCGAATGACACTCGACTCTGTTGCCCCTCTAAAAAAGAAAATACTAAAACAAAGACGGTTAGCTCCATGGTATAATACTGAAACTCGCAAATTAAAGCAAATATCACGGAAACTTGAGAGGAATTGGCGTTCCACCAAAGTGGAAAATTCTCGTTTAATTTGGCAAGATAGTCTTAAAACTTATAGGAAGGCCCTCCGTAATGCCAGAGCAGCGTACTACTCGTCATTAATAGAGGAAAATAGGAACAACCCCAGGTTTCTTTTCAGCACTGTAGCCAGGCTGACAGAGAGTCACAGCTCTATTGAGCCAAGTATTCCCATAGCTCTCAGTAGTTACGATTTCATGAGCTTCTTTAATGATAAAATTCTAGCTATTAGAGACAAAATTCACCAAGACCTGCCCTCAATTGGCACCGACTTATCTCTTAACTCAGGAACCTTTGAAACAGCTGTAGAACCAGATACATGTTTAGACTGTTTTGCTTCCCTCAATCTTTACCAACTAACTTCAATAATTTCTTCATCTAAACCATCAACCTGCCTCTTAGACCCCATCCCGACTAGGCTGCTTAAAGATGTTTTACCCTTAGTCAGCACCTCTATACTAGATATGATCAATCTATCTTTATCAACAGGCTATGTACCACAGTACTTTAAAGTAGCTGTAATTAAACCTCTTCTGAAAAAGCCCAAACTTGATCCGGATGTTTTATCAAACTATAGACCTATATCTAACCTTCCATTTCTCTCTAAGGTTCTGGAGAAAGCAGTTGCTAAACAGCTGTGTGACTTTCTACAGAGCAATAGTTTATTTGAGGATTTTCAGTCAGGATTTAGAGCTCATCATAGCACAGAGACAGCACTGGTGAAAATTACTAATGACCTTCTTATTGCATCAGACAAAGGACTTGTCTCTGTACTGGTTTTATTAGATCTTAGTGCTGCATTTGATACCATTGACCATCAGATCCTATTGCAGAGACTGGAATATTTCATTGGCATTAAAGGAACCGCTCTAAGCTGGTTTAAGTCCTATTTATCAGATCGATTTCAGTTTGTACATGTTAACGATGAGTCCTCCATGCACGCCAAAGTTACTCATGGAGTTCCTCAAGGATCTGTCCTTGGACCAATCCTCTTCACTTTATATATGCTTCCTTTAGGCAATATTATCAGGAAACATTCCATAAGCTTTCATTGTTATGCAGATGATACTCAGTTATATCTATCGATCAAGCCAGATGAAACTCATCAGTTAGCTAAACTTCAAATGTGCCTTCAGGATGTTAAAACCTGGATGAGCTGTAATTTTCTTATGTTAAACTCAGATAAAACTGAAGTTATTGCTCTGGGGCCTAAGCACCTCCGTGACGCATTATCTAAAGATATAGTTTCCCTGGATGGCATCGCCTTGGCCTCCAGCACCACTGTGAGGAATCTTGGAGTTATCTTTGATCAGGACATGTCGTTTAAGTCCCACATTAAGCAAATTTCAAGGACCGCCTTTTTTCACCTACGTAATATTGCGAAAATCAGGAACATCCTGTCTAAAAATGATGCAGAAAAACTAGTCCATGCATTTGTTACTTCTAGGCTGGATTACTGCAATTCCTTATTATCAGGCTGCTTGAAAAAGTCCATTAAGACTCTTCAGCTGATCCAGAATGCTGCAGCACGTGTTCTGACAGGAACCAGGAAAAGAGATCACATTTCTCCTGTTTTAGCTTCTTTGCATTGGCTTCCAGTAAAATCCAGAATAGAATTTAAAATCATTCTTCTTACCTACAAAGCTCTTAATGGTCAGGCACCATCTTATCTTAAAGAGCTCATAGTACCTTACTACCCCACCAGAGCACTGCGCTCCCAGAATGCAGGGTTACTTGTGGTTCCTAGAGTCTCCAAAAGTAGACTAGGAGCCAGAGCGTTCAGCTATCAAGCTCCTCTCCTGTGGAACCAGGTTCCAGTTTGGGTTCAGGAGGCAGACACCATCTCCACATTTAAGAGTAGGCTTAAGACTTTCCTCTTTGATAAAGCTTATAGTTAGGGCTGGCTCAGGTAGTCCTGAACCATCCCTTAGTTATGCTGCTATAGGCCTAGACTGCCGGGGGATTTCCCATGATGCACTGAGCTCCTCTCTCCTCTACTTTCTCTCCCTCTGTATGCAACCTTATCCCATTATTGCATGTGTTACGTCCCACCCTTTGGTGGCAACATGGGACGAACAACATCCCAACACTGACCCAAACTCAACACAAATAAACACCTTTAAAACAACCAAATCAAGGGAATTTATTAACATAACTAGACAATAAATTAAGAACACCAAAAACACAACACAAAAATGCCCCAGCTGGGAAACAGCAAGGCTAGCAGTACCAAATCAAGAAGGGTCCCCTCCTGACACTTGCACAGCAGCTTTTAAAGCCCGCCTTCAAAGGCCAGGTGGACCTTATTCGGTAATTAGCTGGAGCACTCCCAGAACAGAACTGAAAGACAGAAAACATGGACACAGCACAGGGAAATACATACAGCCGTAACACCCCCACCCTTAAAACAAAGAATAACTTTGTTGTCACACAATCACATGTACAACATCAACATGGACCAAATATAGCTCACAAGCGTTCACTGTGACAAGTTATTCTTAGGAATGCACTGGACCAAACTGAGGTATGACTTACCAAGGCTGTATGTTTAGGTAAACCCAAGTAAATTTACAAAAATAAATCCATAAGACAACACCTCACAGGTGCACTAATCCAGGTTTGCACT